AAAAAAATTTAAAATTAATTGGAAAGTGAATTGGTATCCTTTCAGCAACTGATGCCATGAGCTGTGTCCTGGAGGACAGAATGAGGATGACCTAGACCTGAATGTAGTGAAATTACAGCCACTTGCCTAAGTGCTGATGGCACCCGGTCAGGCCCAAGGAATACTGACACCCCAAGGCTGGGCAGCACAGGGAATTACCCAGGGATAGGGAGGCCAAAACCCCTCCATGATGTAATTAAGGTCTAAAAAGCGCTGGGAGAGGAAGAGAGAGGAAAAGAACATTTAGATCAGAGTAATTCCCAAAGGTGCAGCCGAGCTCAGTGAGCAGATTCATGTTTGATATGTCAGACTGTTCTCTGCAGATGCAAGATGGCTTTAAAGAATACATTTCTGCCAGGCTGAAATGGAGCAGCTGACTGTTTTCTGGGCTGTAACATGTTGAGCTGTACTCATCTGGCAGGCAAGGCTGGAATCTGATATGGCAGTGGTTTATATGGAAGAGAAATTAGCCAGGAACTCCACACTTGAAAGTCACTTATCCCAGGAAAACACCTAACATATTAAACTAGCACAACCAATTTGCTTCAAAGCTGATGCAAGTTTTCAAGAAGATCTTGAACTTTTAAGTTTAGAAAGGTTTACTTTAACCATTTCTTGAGAAATTTTGTACTCACTGTCCAAAATCAAGTTCAGAGATTAACTAGGAAAGCATAATCTTGCTTTACTAATAGCCAAAAGAGAACACATAATTTTCATTATGGCATAGTATTACTGTCAAGAGATGAGATGAAAAAACTTCATCCGCCCCACCTTCAAGTATTGTTTTTTTAATAGCCAAAAAAGAACACAACATAATTTTCATTATGGTACAATATTACTGTCAAGAGATGAGATGAAAAAACTTCATCCGCCCCACCTTCAAGATCCAATCACAGCATATCAAGAGGAAATTCTTCAGCAATTTAAGCTCAGATGTACTGGGCTCCACTTGGGTTTTCAGGTTTTTGAGTGCTGGCAGTGACTGTGTGCACATGCAGTGGTGCCTCATAACAAACAGTTAACCACAACAGACTACTTCTGCTGGAAGTTCCTCCAGCAACCACCCAGCCCAAGCTTCTGGCCAGCTCAGGGCTGGCAAAAGTTAAAGCATGTTGTTGAGGGCATTGTCCAAATGCTTCTAATACACTTTGCAGCCCTGTGCCATTGTGATTGATATTTAATGAATTTAGAAGTTCATTTGATGAGAAGATACTTGCTTATCTGTCCATTTCATTGAGCTTTGCCTGGATCACAGTAAAAACAGGACTGAACATAAAGTTGCATATTTATTTATATTAAAAATAGAGCTCTTTCCACTGGAAGGACAGGTTTTTCCAATATGATAAAATAAATACACTATCACAAGAAACAGACATCATATACTTGCATCTACAGTTCATGGATTAGGAATATTATCTAAACTTGGGTGTGGAAAAAGAAAAAAATAACTAATAAGTTTACTTGCTTTCTACAGTTGCTCATTAAAGCACTCAAACACATCTTACACATCATCTGGACATGGAGTTTGTCAGCAGCAATTAGAGACTGATGGACACATGCTGCAACACAGATCCAATAGTACACAAATCCACAGCGTGGATATTCTGAAAATTCTGGAAAAACTTCAGAAGATGCTAGAGTAATAAACATGAAAATACACATACTTTCTTTCAGAAGCCAGCTTAGAGTATCCGTTCAAATATAATGAAATTTCAGTAAATGTTACCTTTCTAGGACTAAACAGCATATCAATTATTTTTCACAATAGCCAAGCTTTAGTCACTTCAAGCAAAAATTTTCTACTCCAACCCAACAGTTTGTTTGTTTTTTTATCCTTCTTATAGATCAGACACTCATCAGCCTCTCAGATCTCTGGAGAGTTGTGGTTTAAGGGAACCCAGGAGGAAAAGACAAATTTGGAAAGCCATTTATCCATCTCACTAGAATTGAGACATTATGGTTTTCATTCTTCCCCCACTCCCAAAAATACCAAATTTCCATCATCAGAGCTCTGTGAATAAACGAACATTTTGTTACTGGCCTCAGGAAGAAAGAAACCACAGGCCTGTTAGGGACAGAGAGGAGAGCAGGGCACTGTGTGCTCGGGAGCGTGTTTATTTGACTGGATTGCAGACGGTCAACCAAAGAACATGCAGATCATATATTTTTAAGCATTTCATAATGGCTTATTATTAATTCCAGCCAAAACCACCAAGACCAAAATTATCTGAAATTGGTGCTTGTGTGTCCTGACCCCAAAGCCAACAATGGTTGCATAAAAAAAAAAAGAAGTTAAATATCTACAGTCCTCTCAGGTTTAATTTTTTTAAAAATCAATTACAAGGCAGTGCCCTTTAAGAGCCTAGAGAGAAGACAGGTCTCCACAACTAACAAACTGAAATGTGGTCCTGGGTAAATTTTACTTCCAGGAAACCAAAATGTTGCAGTCCTTGAGAGAGGGAGGCTGTAAGCAGAGGGCTCTTCTAAAGGAAGGAGCTTTTATTGAACCTGTCACTTGTCATTAAACACTCCATATTTTACCTTAACCTGATATTTTCATTAGAGCATACAGACCTTTTTCATCTGCGAATAAAAGCATTCCCTTCAGCCTTGTGCTGAATGTGGGGAAAGGCTCTCTAAAATCGAGCCCACCCAAACAGGACAATTATGTTCACAAAAGCAGGAAAAGCTCTAGGAAAAATCCAGCAACATTAATACCATGATAACTTGCACACTTCAATGTTGACTATCATATCACACTTCAATCTTAAAATTATTTAATGAATTTAATAATGTCTATTTTTTATATCAGAAGAACTTGCATATAATTATATAGAAAGCACAGACACCAGTGCAGAATAAAACACAACATAAGCAAACTGCAAAAAAGTATGTACTGTTCTACAGAGATATCTAGTTGGAAAACCTGAATGAGAAAAGGTAAAGATATCCATGCTATTCATATTTTTATAACTATAATCTCTCAACTGCTTAAGACACTTTATAAGTAAAGAATTGGATAAGAAATTATAAGGGAAGCTATATGTTCTTAAAGAACTCTGATATAAGCAGCATCATTTTTTTCCTACCATTTTTTTCTGAGCAAAAGCTGCCTCAATGCTACCACCACAGCTCTACCATCTCCTTGATGTACTAGAAACTGGTGTAATAGTTTTAGTAGAACTTAAAGTTCTCAGTAACTGAAATATCACTCACTGTTCATTGCTATGTAGTACAAACATTTTACACAATTTATTTAAATTTTTTTAAAAAGAAAAGTGTTTTCAGTATGCAAATTGAAGCTGAGAAAAAACAAATTTGATGCTTTTTGCAGTGTATTACATATGTGAAGAAGACAGAAAAATAAAAAGGGGAAGAATAACTGGTGGGGGGAGAGCCAGAAAAGGAAGCCATCCCTTTTAAAATCGTGAAGTGCTACATAAAAACAAAGATGATGGTCTGATGGAATGGTGTCATTCAATAAATACACCACCCACGTAATTGCAAGGCAAATGTGAAGCACCAGCTGTCTTTTCAGACATGATATATAGATTTACTCAAATGCAGATTAGAAATCTAACCAAATATTGTAGTAGTTTTAGGAATTTTTAAAGACATTTCTCTAATACCAGGAGGACTGTGTTATTCAAACAGAGCTGCCACATAACGAGGGCCTTGTGAATTGCCACAGCATTACAGCCACAAAACCCATTAGCAGATGTAGAAATCCCACATTCCCGCCTTCTATAAAGGTCTGCAGTTATGAAATCATTTTCATACACTTGGAACTTAACTATTTCATTGCCCAGTACATACAGGACTGGAGTTGATGGAGAAAACCACAAAATGTTGCATCTGAGAGCATTCCATGGACACGTGTTTCTGTGGTTCTTTCAAAGTTTTAGCTGAAAACATCCCCCCAGAACAAAGTAAAGGAGTATCTGTTTGAAATAAGGAAAGAATTTATCTTTACTAGAGAACCCTTAGGATGTATTCTGTGTCTTCACTGTAGATATATTAAGATATGTGGCTGATAAAAAGAAACAGTATTTAACCTAGGATAACAAAGGAAAGCAAAGAAAGGCTTGCTCTTTAAAGATTAACAGAATGAAAGACTACAAGGGATGGTGCAGTTTCCATGTTTATTTTCACTCACCAAAACGAAAGTTATTTCTGTAAATTAAAGAAAACACAGTCAAAATGTCTATAATGTCCACACTTACCATCATGGTATCTTTGCTGTACTCCATGCCAGTCGCTTAATATTTTTATGACAGTAATTGAAAACTTACTGTTTGATAAACCTCCTGCAGCTAATCTCAACACACAGCACACTGAGAAATATTTGACTTGCTTTTATACCAGTGACTTTCTTATGCCTGGGCAGATTTGAGATAACCAGGTAACTGTGGGGCAGCAGCATGATTCTTTCTGAAATAAAGCAACTGACCAGAAAGCACACCAAGAATTCATGAGGTAAACAAGGATGACTACACATAGGACTACACAGTCCTCCAGTTACCCTACAATAACTCCAGCTTTCTCTAAGAATACTTACTTGGTTATCTTTCATTTACTGAAGAAAAGACACCAGTATAAGGTAAAAGCAGCTGGGAAAATAGACAAAACAGCTAAAGAAACAGGCTGTTAGAAAAGCAGAGAAAAAAGAAATGTCACACCCAATCTCAGTATGGAATTGATATAATTATTTCAACAATGCACTTCATAACCAAGTGGACAGTTAAAAGTACATTTTCCTCTTATGAAAATTGAGTAAGATATGAAGGCAATTGAGAGAGGCTGCTTTCTTTGAAATGCTGTAGGATAGATGTGTCCTTTTAAACAATCAGGAACAAAGTTGTTAGGTAACAGCCATGAAAACAGGTCAGGAGGAAGAGTGGAGAGCCAGGCAGCTCAGCCTGGCTCATTATCCCAAGTGCATTAATCAATTCCCATGTTACCTGAAGCTGTTGGGAGCTGTCATTAAGGTTATCCTCTCGTCTCCTGGCCTCCTCCAGCATCTGTGCACTCTTCTTTTTCTCCACTTGCTCTTTGTGCTTCAGATTTGCTACTTTCTTATTTTGATCTTTAACTTGCCTGCAAAAGAGAGGAGCACTCAGAGCGTGGCCCAGAGCAGTTTCCATCAGCCCTGGGGCTGAGCAGTGGGCCAGGGAACAGTGGCACCATCAAGTGCCACCACTTCCTTTGCACAAGGTCACCAGCACCAAACTCATCCTCAAGCATTACTCTCCACTGTTAATTCAGCCAAAAGAAGGCTTCATTTTGGCCATAACTATTAACCTAACCTAGAAAATTTCTGAAACAAAAGCATTAGTTATTATTTGGTATAAACTATTCATCAAAAGATGCACCTGTCCTGACTTTGTGGAAGAAAACTCTTTGTCCACACACACACATGTACATATTAAACCACAGAAATCTAATAACCCATTTTGCTTTGGGTACCACTGTATCTAACGTGAGGAAAACAGGAGGAGCAAAAGGAAAACGACTGAAACATGACTTGAATATAGAGGATTACTTCCAAGAATTAGGGAATCTGTTTCTAGAGGTAAAACAATTTCTTTTCAACCTCAAGATCTACCTGTTTTCTTTGTATTTTGAGGAATTTCCTATCCTTTCTTTTCACACAAACAAGCCACAAGAAGTAAGAACAAACTACTTGAGAAAGTGTGCATCATTTCCTTTTCACTTGCATCTATGGACTATTTTTGATGATCCTGGCAGCTACCATTGCCTGCAGACAGGGTTTGGCCTTTCAGGGCATTAAGACACATGGAGTATTGAATCTAATTACAGACCCTTTAATCTCAGCCTCCTGACCACAGAGAACTTAAGTCTAAACTTTTAGTCCAATCAAAACAAAACAGGCTAGCTCTGCTTCCTCAGCCCTTTTCTCTATAATTATATCTGGAGTTTGGATTTTGGAATAGAAGACAGATTCTTCGGTTGCAAGATGTCCCCAAAACATCATGCAAGTAGTAGAAATGGCTCTTTAATTTACTGTTTAGAAAACAGAATGATATACCAGCTTCAGATCTGGTATGTTATCCACACAGACAGGGAAGAATGTTTCTTCTGTATTTCAGAAATACTTTTAGAACAGATCACAAACAACCCTTCTTTAATATTTTCTTCAGAACTCATAACAAAAGTATGATCAAGAACGTATCTCTTTGTGACATGGCATATGACCAGTCAGTGTTATGAGTTCCTCCAAAAACACTCTGAGCTCTGAGGTTCAACTCTGAGCTCTGCTTTTTTCCAATGTAAGCCAACTGAGGCTGGGAAAATCACGAAAGCAGCAAATTTTCCTTGGTGCTAAAACAAACTCTTAGGGTGAAAAAGTGCTGATGGCCTCTAGAGACCAATAAAAAATGAAAGTTCTTTTCTGATGATGTTAAAAAATTATTGGCATACTTAACCACCCTGTCCAAGAGTTACAGCTGATTTGAGTCAGGATGCTTTTTAAACACAACCAGTGTAATTGTTGAGTTATTCTAACCCAGTGCTGCACACTGGCAATGGGCTCATTGCCCAGTTTGAAAGCAGACTTGCTCAGTGATTAAACAACTTATTGGAAATATTATGCTGGCACCAACTCAGCTTGTACAATACACAGTTCTATCTGTCCAATAAAATAAACACAGAAAGTACAGCTAAGAAAATGAAAATATGTCAGCCCAACACATTCAATTCCATATGAGAATTTTTACTCAATTTTAAAATTAAAATTAGAGGAATTAAGTATTTTTTAATAAATTTGCAAAGCTACATTCACATATTGGGAAACTGATCTTTATTACTATAACCAACTAGTTAGATAAGAGACAACAATATTAATAAAGTCCCAACCCTCTTCAAAATATGTCTGAAATAGATAATGTCCCACATGGTCCAAAATGTTTTCAAACAAAATATGTATTTCAAAGAGATGGGTAATTATAAGGATATGTACTATTGACATCCCTGTTCTGATGTGTGAACAAAATTAATGACATTCTAATATATTAGGTAGATGTTTTGAGAGAAAGACAAGCTTTACTGAAGTTAAGTCTTAAAATTACCTAGTGCTTGTAATACTGAGATCAGTCTTCATAAAATCTTCTACTAGACCAGGTTGCTCAAAGCTCCGTTTAACCTGGCTTTGAATCATGTGCAAGATACAACTATCCCTCTGTATCTCTGATGTCAAAAAGGAACAAAAATTGGTCTATAAACTTTTCAAACAATACAGGTATCTGCGGCAGTAACTAGAATTTCCCCAACTGTTTAACTGTCTAAATCTGAGAAGCTACATGAAACTCCAAATCTATAAACCCAAAAAGGCTTGGAGTCATTTGATACATGAATACACATTTCATCTCATCTCAATGCCCATGGTACCAAATTAATATTCTCACTTTTACAATACCTCATGCAGATAATCATGCAAAAGGCTCAGCATTTACAAGTCCACAGCCCTTTGACATTTGCACCATCAAAGTTCTGTGAAGCTCCCAAGACTTACTACTGTGGTTCTGTAAAGAATGCTCTTCCTTCTTTGCCAGAAAACTTTCAGTCTTCAAAGCCAGTCAGAGAATCATCTTTTTATAAATGCAAACAATCTTTTAAAATATTTAAATACGTACTCATATTTTTTATATCAAGAGACCTCAAAAGCTTGCTTATTAGGTATCACCCCATTCACTGCTCAATAAAACAGTTCTGTTGCTATTCTAAACACTGCAGTACTACTGATGATTGTTATAGGACAATTTAATCTTCACACCACCACTGAACAATGTGCAGAATTGGACCACATACTGAACTGGAACAATAAAATAAAATACAGACAGTACGTGACTTAAGTGAGCATGCTGCAACTGGTACATTTCATGAGGAGACAGTCAAGAGGAAATTTTTTCATAATATATGTGCACAAGGAAGCGTATTAGGAAAAAAAAACCCAGAAAGAAACAAACAAAGCTCTGCAACTCCCTCAGTTTGAGAGCTTAATTTTGTAAGCTTAATGTTTTTTTAACTCTTTTGAATGAATTGCACATATATAGAGCACATATCGTATCAAAGGGACAGCAAAGTTTTTAAAAAAATCCTTAATCTCTAAGAGTATTTTTATTAAAACTGAAAAAAACTTGCATGAGATTAAAGATAGTAAAAAGAGAATGCCTTATGTACAATGATGGCAAGACAGAGGTTTAAGGATGTTTTCTAGAAAGCACTACTGTCTGCATGTACAGCACAATTTGCAATGTGCATGTGGGCTTCTCATCACAAACTAAAGAACTAATAAACTTCTGAAAGATACAGAATTAAATGCATTAAATATTACCATAAATACACATTCCTACAGAAACATCTTTGCAAAACAAAAGATAGAAAGAATTCTAGTGATTCTGATTAAAGCTAGAGAGCTAGGTCACATTCACTGAGATAAAATTTTGAAGAAGATACCAAGTGGAACCAGCAGAAACAGCAAAACTAACAAAAGCAAAAATACCTCATGTCAGAAGATGTTTATTCTGAGTCACCTCATATCAAATAATAAAAGTGTTTTATATAAAAGAACAAAAATCTAATAATGTTTACATTGAATTACAGTGAAGAATTCCACTCACTTTGGAAATAACAATTTCTTTTGCACTTTTCATAGCAATTTTAAGATAACTATCTTTTTTTGAGAGTCCAGCTCCTAAACAATTTCTTTCTCAAAAGTGAAAACCCTTTTCCATTATTTTGAATTTTTCTCCATTTCACAGTTTGTCACACCAAGTACTGTTACAAACTAATGTATTAGATAAAAGGAAGTAGAATCAAATTCAGGCTTCTGATTTAAAAATATAAACCCCGAAGTCTTTCAACTAAAGACAGGCCAAGATTTTCAGAATAAAACATTTCATATCCTTTCATTTTGGGTGTCCAATTTAGTCCATGTGCCTGATGAAAAAATCCCCTAAGATTTCCTAATCTGGATTCTGAAACAAACTGTTCATGTCTATGGCTTTACTCTTTCTTTAATGAAACAAAGCTGCAGCACTTTAACAAAGTCACACCTTTCCACTTATCTATGAAATTCCTGCATTTCCAGTGATGAAATATAGCCCAACACCATGGGGAATAAAGTCAAACAATCACAATAAGCAATAAAAAATTTCAAATGAGAAGATTTCACACTTCAAAATTATTTCAAAACAGGAAGACAAAGATAAACAATAGAAGACCAGTGGAGCATCAGGCATTCCTGAAAAGTGGCAAGTCACTTTGTTACCCATCAGCCATTGGCAAGACCTTTCTTCACTAAGAAGACCAGTTGCTACATAGGCCCTTTCATTTATTAAGGCTTTTATGAAATTATTTCTTTCTGTACAAATGTCAATATTTTTTTCCTTTTGACACTGATCTCATTATCTTTTACTGTAATGCACATCAGCATTCATACAGCTGCTAATTCTCTCCTCATATGGATTTTCATGCTGTGCATTAATATAATGTAAGCTAGTCTCTGCATCTGGTTATCTTTTCTGATACAATTTCCGATGCTATTCTTGTAAAACAGAAGTTGATAAAATGTTAACTGAAAATATGAATAATTTGAATTTTAATATTATATTTTAACATACTTTTCCTTCACATTTACGTGGCTAACACAAAACAGTGTTTTTAGAACAATCCAGGTTAAGCAAACATTTAGAATGCTTTTGAACCACCTGAAAGCTTCCCTGCAATATGAAGTGTACACACACATCCTGTATTTCACAGTGACTCACACACCAGGAACAAACATGCAGATTTTGTGCACTGCTATAGGAACAGCTTGCTTTACTCATCTGACTTAGGCACTCAGAAATATTTCTATGTGTCTGTCAGCCATGTCAGAAGGATTGCTGAGCTCAAGCCTTCATTGCTGTAGCATTACCACCACCCACAGGACACTCCACTGCTGCTGCAGCTGCTAATCCTGATGGACAGATGAACTTCAGGTGCTTTAAAGAACACTTTGCTTCTCAACATGACTTAAATTGATAAAACAGTCAACATGACTGAAAAAGCCTACACGGAAAACTGGATGCAATGAC